AGCCTCTTTTTTTTTGTATATATATATATATTATATAAAATTAAAAAGTAAATTCTTCAAACTATTGCCTATGAGCTAAAGTGATGCTTCGGTTCCTTTGCAAATTAGTGTAAAGACAAAATGAAATACTAATTAAGAAAATAAGAGAAAGGTGAAAGCTTAACTAGATTCAAGAGTTAATATGCATGAAGAATAAAGTTTAAGCTATCTCAAAACATATTAGAAAAAATACTACAAAAACATCATGTTAATAAGCAGTAACTACAACTAAGCAGCGGTAAATGGAAAAATTAGCCTAATTCGAATATCACCATGGACCTTTCAAGGGAAATGCATGGTGAGCTTCGAACTCTGCTAATTACAGAACGCGTTTCGTCAAACAGGACACTGAGACTGATTGCAAATATTTTTTTTATTTATTATAAAGATCCAATATTATTGATTAATATAATTAATTAATTTATTAATATATTAATTATATTAATTGATAAATATTAATTTAATATTAATTATTAATATATTAATTAATATTAATTGATTCAAATATTAATATATATATATATATATATATGGACCATAGTATCACAACGACTTTTAACAAAATCATGAAGAATTTTTCTTTTTACCTTGTTTTCTAATTTTTGCAGCTCAATGCGCAAAATTCTTGACCACAAAGGTCTTTTTTGATTTGTTCTGCTTTCTTAAATTATATATAGAGAGATTAATTTTTAAGATTAATTTTAATTCGCTAAATTGATGAATTTATTTTCATGGTTTGGTTTTGCACTTGATTTACTTATGCTATCTGAATTTAAATGATATTGTAGATTAGTTCGAAAATTAAATCTTTTATAGGTTTGCATATTTTTTAATTATTTTAAATTTAAATTTTGCTTTTTATATACATGTTTTGTTAATATATATATATATGTGTATATATATTAATGTTTGAATCAATTAACATTAATTAATATACTGATCAATCAATATATATATATATATATATCTATGTATATATATATATATGTAATTTTATTTCTGAAATTCCAAAAAAAAAAAAAATGCTTGTTTGTTTGATATATATATATATATATATATATATTTTTTTTTTTTTTTTTTTTTTTGTGTGTGTGTGAATATTGCCCTCGTACATATAGAACATTTTAGCTCGTAGATATAACATCCATGCTATGAAAGGCTTATATCTTTTAATGCAAACGATAAGAACTGCTGAATAGCGTTGCTAGTAGTTCCAAAAATATATATTTTGAAAATCCCCATAAAAATATCCAAAATTGGACAAAAACTAGGAATACATTTTGCAGCTTGGCTAAATTGTAGAGTCATTAGTTTTTTGATACTGATAACGTGAACAAAGAGCAATGCCCTCCGGACTTGAAACTGGACCTCTCGAATATGCTTCAAGTGAGCTACGTTACACCCCAAAAGCATGCGGAAAGGAAGGAGAAAATACCATAAATACTTCCACTTTAGAAGGGCGACTGGGCATTACAGGACCCAATCACCAAATTCTGAATTATCTGGATAGCCGTATTTCTAGGTATAAGCAATAATAGTCTTGAAAATAATTAATTAAAATAAAGAGAATGAATATCATGTAATATTCGTAAGTTTTTAGAAAATGTCAAGGTCAGAATGACCTATCCCGTAACTCTAGTGTTAACAGACATCTTTAAATAAACAAACTTAGGAGTGATAATATTGTAATAATAATAATAATAATAATAATAAATGTTTTAACAAAAGAAAAAAGTAATTTAAATAAAGTAGATTGAAGTAAAAAAAAAAAAAAAAAAAAAAAAAAAAAAAAAAAAAAACTTTTGAAGGACTTCTTTCATGTGCAACTAAGCCAGCATTAAGCAGAATATGGTAAAAAAACAATTGTTAATTATATTTTAGCAATTTTTTCCTCCAACTAGTCTAAATTACTTCGCATCGCAATGAATGACGTTAAATGAATGACATATTCACGTTAAAATGCAACAATCAGTCACAGTACTAAATTGTGTTTTAAGAACAATCATCACAATTCTAATGACAAGTTACAGTAGACACCCGATTAACCTGGTTGATAATGAGACGATTCTACTGTTAATACAGACTTATGATTATTCCGATAACAGTTTCTATAGATGTTAGGTAATTTTGAAGCAGGAGATTTGAATGATATGCAATGCCCTCGCCAAGAGTCCAACCTGGACCTCTCGAATACGCGACGATTGTGCTACCGTTACATCACGAAGACATATTGGGAAGGAGTAGAAAATACCTTATATACACTCCTTTTTCAAAGAGCTATCGAGGATTAGGGCAATCAATCGCCAAATGACTATTGGTGACGAATAATCGTCCTGTAACAGCTTTAAATTTTATTAAAATCTTGTAGTTTAAATAATTTAAATAGATGAACATTAAGGTATTTGTGAATGGCAATATTTGAAACCAGACTCGAGCGCCACGTGCGACTCTCGCACGAAGAATGTTATTTATTTTTAATTGTTAGTATTCTTTTTTCTTCTTGTTTTGTATGTCGCCATTTGAGTGTTAAATAAAGTTTTTTTTCTGTGTTCCATCATTGGAGTTGCTTCATATTGCCAAAGAAGTATTACAGTCATAATTATTTTAGAGGCACCGACCGAGATTGAATAATCGTGCGTATTTTTATTTTATTAGTTCATCACTGAACATAATATTAGTGATAACAGATTATTACTTCCTGTCAATATTGAATTTCTTTATTTTATTAGTTCATCACTGAACGCAATATTAGCGATACCAGATTATTACTTTCTGTTAATATTGGATTGCTTTATGTTATTAGTTCATCACTGAACATAATATTAGTGATAACAGATTATTACTTCCTGTCAATATTGAATTGCTTTATTTTATTAGTTCATCACTGAACGCAATATTAGCGATACCAGATTATTACTTTCTGTTAATATTGGATTGCTTTATGTTAGTAGTTCATCACTGAACGCAATATTAGCGATACCAGATTATTACTTCCTATTAATATTGGATTGTCTTATTTTATTACTGTATTGGATATTATTTTTAATATTCATTTTAGTTGTCCAGACGGTAGATATATATATATATATTGCTCTATGTTGTTATTCTTATTTTAGTCACAATTAATGTGGTAGAGAGAATTAACTTCATATAATTTAAATATTTCATTTTTTGAGGTATACGTATTTAACAGAGTGCATTTAATTCCGTGATTCCTGACTGCATTAATTAATTAAAGTAACTGATTTGAGCTATTTTGAGGAAGTATAAAGAACATAGTGTTTGTTAATTTTAAACATAGAAACAATGTCTTACTTGGGAAGAGCTCGTAAGGAAGATTTGCAAAATCTCGCGGCTGAACTGGGCGTTCATGTGACTGCAGATTTGAAAATAGTCGATTTAAAACAGAAAATTGTTGAAAGTAAAGATTATGATGAAGTATTCGTCAATGGAGTCTTAGACACAATAATAGAAGAACGGAAAGAGAGGAAGGAAAGGGAAAGAGAAGAACGGAAAAAGAGAGAACGGACAGAAAGAGAAGGAAAGGAAAGAGAGAGAGGAGAGATGGAGGAAAGAGAAGAACGTAGGAGGACAGGAAGAAGCAGAAGAGCGGAGAAGAACGAACAGTATTAATTAGAGAGAAAAGCCGGACAGATCCGGCCGAAAACAGAGCTGCGTCACCTTATGCAGAAATTCGATGATAAGAAAGGAGATATCAGTCTATATTTGCTATTGTTTGAAAGGCAAGCAGAATGGGCTAAAATTGATAAAACAGAATTTGTATCTCATTTACTAGGAATACTTCCTTACGAAGTAACCCAGTTAATAGCTCGAGAACCCTCCGATAAAGCTAAAGACTATGAGCACGTGAAGAATTTATTGTTAAGACGGTTTAAACTAAGCCCGGAAAAGTTTAGGCAGAAATTTATGAAACATCAAAAGAGTATTGAATCTACATGGGTGTATTTCAATTATGAAATAGAAAATTATTGCAAAGAATGGGTGACTGGTCTAGGAGTTAAGACTTTTGATCAATTGCTAGATTTGATGGTGATTGACCAACTTAAACGTTGAGTTCCTCCTGAAATTCGAGATCATTTTCTTGATGAGTGGGTAGAGATGATTTCATCTAAAAAATTAGCTGAAAAACTTGATGCCTATGAAAACGTTTGCGGAAACTTTCAAAAAAGGCCTGTAGTGGATCGGCAGAAAGAAAGATACAATGCACTAACTCAAGGTAAATTGAGTTCAGATAATAAAAATAAAACTGAAAAAAAAAATTGTCATCAGGAGTTAATTCGCAAAGCTGGTTTCATAGACCTAGAAGTCCACGTCCAGGTGATAAATATGAAAAACGAAAGACGCCACAATGCTATCAGTGTGGGTCCTGTCAACATTTAAGACCCCAATGTCCAAAACTTAAGAATAGTACTGAATCTCCTGCTAATCTTAACAGTATTAGTGCAAAACCAGAGGATAAATTTCTATTACCTTATACTAGTATGGGTTACGTAAATGGTCATAAAATTCCTATATTAAGGGATTCAGGTGCTAGTATTGATATAGCTTGTCGCAAATACATCACGCCGGAAATGCTGACAGGTGAAAATGTGTGGGTGCAACAGCCATTAAATTTAAATCCAACCTGTTTACCATTGGTTGAGATCGAACTAAATTGCGATCTTGGGCGAGTAATAACTAAGGCTGCCATTATTAGAAATGAACTCGACAAAGGAAGGTATTTATTAGGCAGTCGAACTTTTGCACTGCTGAATAAACAAGCAAAAGAGCCTGATAGTTGTCCTCACCAGGTTAATGCTGTCTCTACTAGAGTTCAAAAGAAAAGAGAAATAGCTGAAGAGAAGATCTTGGAACCGATGGAGGAAAAAAATAAAGCATCCAGAGATGTTTTTGAAGAAGAAGATAATTTACCGGAACTAAATACGTAAGATGAAACTCTCATGAAGCTGGTAAACATTGACTCAGAAGAAGTTGCACAACTTCAGCTTACTGATAAAGAACTGTCTAATGTCATCAAAGAAATTAAAGAAGGTACATGCAAAAATGAGAACTATAGACTGACAAGAAAAGAGTTTTTAGTTAAAAAAACGACGGATAAAATGGGCTTTGAAAGTCAGCTTGTCGCTATACCTGAAAAACTCAAGGCGTCAATTATAAAGATGTGCCACGAAGGAACTTCTGGTCATTTGGGTGTCAAAAAGACCAAAGATAGGCTTGCTAGATATTTTTACTGGACGAGGTGTTACAAAGAAACTGAATATTTTGTAAGAACCTGTGATGCTTGTCAGCGCGCTGGAAAAGGAAATGACAAAAAGAAGGCTCCAATGACATTAGTACCAGTAATTTCCGAAATATTCACTAAAATAAATGTCAATGCCGTTGGTCCGCTACCTATTTCAAAGACTGGAAAAAAATATATTATTACAGCTCTGTGTATGTCGTCCAAATATTCAGATGCTGTTGCGGTGACAGACATTTCTTCGCCATCTGTGATTGATGCTTTCTTACAGATTTTCAGTCCCAAACAGATCAGGGGACTTCTTTCGTCAGTGCTTTGACAGAGGAATTTTTGGAGCGTTTCGGCATTAAACATGTAAGAAGCTCTGTGTACCATCCGCAGAGTAATTCCGTTGAGCGATTCCATAGAACGCTAAAAAGGGTGTTAAGAGTCGTATGTATAGGAGCGACTTCGGATTGAGAAAATTATCTACGATCAGTTCTTTTTGCTCTCAGAACAGTCACACACGAAAGCACTGGTTTTACACCAGCATAATTAGTTCATGGCAAAAACCTACGAACGCCAGTCACTTTACTTTATGAGCAGTGGCTAGAACCGATTGAAGAAAGTAATAATGTTGTCAGTTATGTTTTCGAACTTATTAATCGAATGAAGAAATGCCAAGAACTTGCCGTGGAAAACATGAAAGAAACTCACAACGGAGGAAAACATGGTACGATCGAAACGCAGTGAAAAGAGAATTTGCTAGAGGAGATTTAGTTCTTGTTTTATCAACGAATCGTCAAAATAAACTAGAAGAACAGTGGAAAGGACCTGGAAAAATAGAGCAGAAAATTTCAGAAACCAGTTATATTGTAAGTTTCGAGGAACAAAATGAGCCAAATCAAGTATATCACATTAACATGCTTAAACCATATTACAAAAGACCAGAAATGATTAATATGATAACTGAAGTGGAAGGAGACTTAGAAATGGACATTCCTCATTTATCTTCCAATCCTAGTATATTAAATTCCTCGGACATCATAGAGGAGAATGAACTCGAGAAAAGGTTGAAATCCGAGCAAATACATGATTTACGAAAGATTTTATGGAAATATTCTGGTTGTTTTCCAAATAATCATGGACTAACAAACTTAGTTTGTCACGATATTGAGCTATTAAATAACGAACCAATACAGATAAACCAAATAAGGGAATATACAATGGTCTGAAATATGTGACAAAGCTTTTAAAAATTTAAAAGAATTGCTATGCAAGAAACCAATTCTGTATGCTCCCGACTTTGATAAAAGGTTTATTTTCTCCCTTCTTTCTGCATGCCTTCGTGGTGTAACAAGTAACACACTCGGCGCGTAACCGAGAGGTCCAGGTTCGAGTCCCGGCGAGGGCAAAGCTTTTTTTTTTCACATCACTTGCTTCAGAATAACCTAATGACTCTACAGTGCCCGAACTAAAATGCGGGGTACTGTAATACTTCTTTGGCAATATGAAGCAACTCCAATGATGGAACACAGAAAAAAACTTTATTTAACACTCAAAGACTGTCACCCCGACAAACTGAAATTCTCAAAAGGAAAATCCAGAAAATGCTCGATCTTAAAATTATAGAGCCGGGAGAATCGGACTATACATCTCCCATGATTTTGATAGAATCTTCATCAAAGGATCCTCGGCCTTGTATTGATTATCGTAAACTCAATGCTGTTACTAAAACTGAATACTATCCTTTGCCTAATATTGAAGAACGTATCGAAACTGTAGCAAAAGCAAAATATATTACCCTTTTAGATTTATCTAGAGGCTACTGTCAATTCCGTTAACAGAAAGAGCCCAAAGATATGCAACATTTGTAACTAGTTTTGGAAGTTTCCGGCCTCTACGTTTACCCTTTGGATTAAAAAATGCCCCATATTTTTTTAGCAAAGTTATGACTAAAGTCCTTGCTGGATGCGAAGGCTTCGCTGTACCATACCTGGATGACATTGCTATTTACTCAGAAAACTGGGAAGAGCACCTTAAAAACCTAACTTCTGTTCTAGAGAGAATACAGAAAGCAAACTTACGACTAAAACCATCAAAATGTAAATTTGCACGAGATCAAGTGAGATACCTAGGCCATGTTGTGGGACTAAGGACAACGAACCCCCGGATGAAGTAAAAGATCCTGGCTGTAAAGGAGTATCCTACACCTAAACCAAAACAGAAGTACGTGCTTTTCTTAGGACTAGTAGGGTATTATCGCCAGTACATACCGAGATTTTCGGAAATTGCTTCACCCTCACGGACGCTTTGAAAACGGGGTAACCAAAAAAGGAAATATACAATGGTCTGAAATATGTGACAAAGCTTTTAAAAAATTTAAAAGAATTGCTATGCAAGAAACCAATTCTGTATGCTCCCGACTTTGATAAAAGGTTTATTATACAAACCGATGCCTCAGAGGCAATGGCATGGGTATAGTACTATGCCAATTAGATGATGAACAACATGAACATCCTACTTTTTGTATATAAGCAAAAATTTACTAAATTTGAAAAGAATTATTGTACTACTGAAAAGGAGTGCGCTGCTATCATCTACGCTATCAAGAAACTGCAATTTTTATCTGGATGGTCAGCAAGAATTCTTGATTCAAACTGATCATAACCCTTTGGTCTGGCTACAATCCAACGCCAAATGTAACTCTACTCCAAATTGATGGCGCTGGGCACTTCTCATTACAACCTTATAATTTTAAGGTCATTCATCGCAAAGGATCTTGGCACAAGAACGTAGATGTTCTGAGTAGAATTACGTAAGTAACATAATAACCCTTAGTGTATGTAACCACGTTTAGAATTTATTATTTAATGTATGCTCAAACTGATATATTTGAACGTTCTCCATTTTCTTTGTATTTAAATGTGGGGTAAAAGTATTTGTTTAAAACTTAAAAGTTTTGGCCTGAAATTTGGAAATTTATAAGAGTAAGTTAACTTTTTTCTCTTTAAGCAATCGAGCAAGCCGAGCTTATAAACTTTCGAATTTTACAGGACTTTTCCCATCGGCAAAAGTCTCTTCGTTGGGGGAGAGATTGTAACAGCTTTAAATTTTATTAAAATCTTGTAGTCTAAATAATTTAAATAGCTGAACATTAAGGTATTTGTGAATGGCAATATATGAAACCAGCAGACTCTGCCACGTGCGACTCTCGCACGAAGAATGTTATTTATTTTTAAATGTTAGTATTCTTTTTTCTTCTTGTTTTGTATGTCGTCATTTGAGTGTTAAATAAAGTTTTTTTCTGTGTTCCATCATTGGAGTTGCTTCATATTGCCAAAGAAGTATTACAGTACCCCGCATTTTAGTTCGGGCACTGTAGAGTCATTAGGTTATTCTGAAGCAAGTGATGTGAAAAAAAAAAAAGCTTTGCCCTCGCCAGGACTCGAACCTGGACCTCTCGGTTACGCGCCGAGTGTGTTACTTGTTACACCACGAAGGCATGCAGAAAGAAGGGAGAAAATACCTTATGAAATGTGTTGAAAATACAGATAAAAGAAAATTATGTAGAATTTCTACACTTTCAGTCCATATACTTCTACGAAATGTTTTTTTTTTTTTTTAAATAAATACTGTAAACCTGGAGCTCGAATTTTCAAATCCTATTGCGGGCGATCAGCGTGTTAAGAATATAGTTTCTATACAAATAATGTAACTTCAGAAGTAAATTTAAAATATTTGTGGTGCGGTTTGCATATTTTGCTAAAATCGCATAATTGCATGTAAGTTTAAACTGCAAACGTTTTCAGACGTACGATATGAAACAAAAACAGAAAGTTTGTACACATAAAATTTTATTTGAATGGCGGGCTCTCACCCGACTTCGACACGGACGGACAGTTACAACAATTCCTTCTCCGGAATGCGTAATGGCAAACCGCACATTGAGCTGATCAATGTTAAGGAATTTTACTTACTGCGTGCGCATGCTCAGTAGTGTACCGTTGGCGTGGAAGGAAATACTGGCGACTAATCATAAGCAACCCTACACAACTCTGTTTGTCATGTAAGTCTTATGGACTGTTTACAATTGCAATACTACCGAAATTTGTTGGTCCTTAATGCATTTGCTTCTGTTTCATTCCATTTTGGTTTATTTTGTTCATAAACGTTACATTTAATATCGGTTATATATAATAATTTCCTTGCCTTTAATTCAGCAATTTAAACTGGATTGATTCTTTAATTTGTTAAGGTACATACGAATGGAACTTATGGTCAATACGCAATTGCTTTTATTCTTCACAAGTATAATCAATAGAGATTCATCTAATGTATCTTGTAATGTTTCCTATTTTGTAATCATTCTTAAACGAAAATTTGCGTAGTTTTTATCGATATTTATACTCCAAGTAATGAAGCAACCTACAAATTAACAAGCTTTAAAAGCCCGAACGGTTTACGCCCGGATAACAGAATATCAATCATACGCCATATTTGTCTACTTTTAAGACTGTAACAAAGTCATAATTGTGTCACATTCTCTTCTGGGCATGCGCAGTATGCGAAATTCGTTTAACATTGGTCAACTGAATGTGCAGTTTGCTATTACATCGAACACCTGGGCTCCTTGGTATCGGAGTCGGCTCCTATAACCACTATAACCGTCTGAGCGGCTTGTACACGCAAAGTAAACATTAAATATTATCCTAATTGTTTTTTAAGCAAACTGCCAAATCGAAAAAAAAGTACTTTTTAAGTATACAATTTAAAGTTATTATTTTAAATGCATTTCGTGTTTTGCAATACATTGTACTTAATAAATTTGCTTTATTCTTATTCAGGAACAACAAATGAAGCTGAACCAGAGTTTGCTGAAGCTATTCCTAATATAACAATACCCGTCGGTCGAGATATTCAGCTCCCATGCGTCGTCGAGAATCTTGGCTCATATAGAGTAAGTGGATATGTTTGGATTATTAATTAGATTCCCTTTTCTGCCTATGATTTTCACAGAATTTCATATTTCTATCATTTTAAAGGGTACAATCAGAAAACATTCTTTTGTTTCCTTTCTACCTCTTCACATGATTATTATTTCCTAGGTGATATTTTTTATTAAGATTAATTACACGAAATTGATTTTAATTATTTTACAGAAATTTTGAAGCAAAGTTAAATAATGATTGCAAAATTCAATCTTATTAAAATTTCTATATGCATAATGTGAAAGCTTATTCAAATAATATGTGAAAAATAAATTTCTTTCCAGAATCCCCTTTAGTCCGTTTTGTATTTTCTTTCGAGAAAATTTTTGTGTTTGATTCTGTTTCTAGTTTGTTAATTTGTTTTTACTAGAATTTCTTAATTGTTAATTACAGAATGGTCAATCAAAAAATACAAATAAATTAAATATAAATACAAAAAAAATTAAATTTGTTTCAATTAGCTTTTAACACATTTTAACTAATTCAACAGAAATGCATGAAATCACGGAAATTCTAGAGATTTTACTATCTAAAATTTTAATTACAATTCTGTTCAGCAGCTACTCCTCTATTCATATAAAAACACAGATATTTCATAAGAAGCATTAAAATTAGGGTTCATTATTGAGACTGGCTTCAAGATGAGCTAATTCTTATGGACAATAAAATTAGCATTTCTTCAAGAATTCATTCAACTATATCCCATAACGCCTCCAATTCCCAGAACCGCTAGGTGATCTGTGTATATCCATGACCTTAATGGACTTGTAATCCAGTTTCTCAGGATTCTGGGTCTGTAATTATGTTAAATGCTTGTTTCAAGAAACTAAAATTCAACGTTTGTAATATCCTTCCAGTTTCATTAACACTTGTTTGTATGATGTTGATTTTTCGCATGCTAGGCCAGAACTAGTTACGTGTATTCAAAATTTAAAGGTTCAACACTGTTTGGTGTAATTTGTTTTACACCAAGCACAGCAGAATTTTACATAATGCAGCAATGTAATAGAACAGTATATAATGTTTTTTAAAACAATTCTGGAAAACATTAATTTTGTATACTGTGTAGAGACATTAGGTATTTTTGGAAGCATAAAAGATGAAAAATTAGCAATAGCTTCGCCGGGAGTCAAACCACGGACCTCTGGAATACCGGCCTAGCGTGCAGAACCACTGCATTCCGAAGCCACGCCAAGAAGGTGAGAGAAATGCCTTATGTACCCCCCTTTTAAAGGGCGCTTGGGGTTTTAGGAGAACCAATCACCAAATAATGAGTGTGGAGAATCATCATGCACAACCCTTTTAGTTCGGGCACCACTGTAGGGGCATTAGGATTTATTAGAAAAGCTGGAGAGATGAAAAATATGTAATGCCTTCGCCGGGAATCAAACCACGGAGCTCTAAAATACCGGCTCAGCGTGCAGAACCACTACACCACGAAGGCACGCTAGGAAAGCGGGAGAAATACCTTATATACTCCCCTTTTTAAAGGGCGACAGGGTTTTTAAGGGACCCAATCTCCAAGTCCTGGTTGTGAAGAATCCTCATCCAACATCCTTTTAGTTCGGGAGCCACTGTAGAGATATTACGTATTTTTGGAAGCAGGCGAGCTGAAAGATTAACAACTGCCTTCGCCAGGAATCGAACCACGCACCTCTGGATTACCGGCCCAGCGTGCAGAATCATTACAGCACGAAGGCACACTAGGAAAGCGGGAGAAATACCTTATAACTCTGCACCAAAATAACTCTGCACCAAAATAACGTAATATGTGACAAATGATTTTACAATTTAATATATTTAGGAAAAATTACTTAGTTTTTAGAATTGGCAAAGCTAAATATTCCTTGTTATATAAATTTAGCTTAAAAAGAGGTACTTCAAAAATTTTGACCTATCTTTTTATTAATGAAAAATATTATTATGTAAAATTCAATAAGTTATAAAATACATTAGCGTTTAAGCCACCCAACTGGTAGTTTCCGCTTGGACGCTAGTAGTTAGTGGCTTAGACTGCCGTTTAGTAGTTAGTGACTTAGACTGCCGTAGAGATGGGGCCGGGTTTAAATCCTGGAGAAAGCATGGCTGTAACTGTCCCTCCGTTCAATAGGAGGCAACGGTGCCCATACTGAGGTGCTTCCATACTGAATTAGCCACCACTTCCGGCCTTTTTAGGGGCGCAAGACTAATGGCTATTAAATAAAGCGCCCGGCCATAAAATAATAATAACAACATTAGTGTTTAATCAACAACACATTAGTACACATTATCGTTAGCAAGAATCACTGTTTAAATAAAGTTATGAAAATTAACATTTATAAAATTCCAATCCATATGTTATATCAAAGTTTCATGATAGATTTCTTTTTTCAGTGCAGCTTTTAGTGCACCCAAAACCTAGGAACAGAAACTCTGCTGTCGACGTTTAGAAACGCATTTATTTATTATAATATTAGAATAAAAAAATCTGATGTGTACACCACATGACTTCCTTGTACGGAATATTAAATTATACGCATTTTTTCTTGCATTTTATTTAAACTTCTTAGATTGAATTAAACCTACTTCGCCGACAGAGCATAAACCACAATAGAATAAATGCATTCTTTAAAATTCACTTTGTTTACCATAGCGACACTCTGGCGCTAGGTTTACTTAACAGAATTATGTTTCATTCATATTATAACTCAGAATGCACAAAATGTATATCATTTAAAGAATTATCTAATCGTTGCCACATGTTCTATTCAAATACTATAATAAAGCTAGAACTATGTATAAAAGAAATTAAGCAAACAAAACAAAACAGAAACAGTCTTTAACAGACGATTGAGTATTTCTCATTTAATTAATTCAGTTCTCACTTCGCGAGAAGGCAAAAATACATAAAAACTCAAAATATGTATATTAAAAATTACGAAGTAAATCTCAAACGCTTATTTCCTCGAAAAAATTCCAGAAAGAATTAAGCATGATTTAATTGGCAATAATAAATGAATGCGTTATCTTTGTTTTTGCGAAGCTAAGTTTCTCTAGATTGGCAACAAATCCACTAGTCTCCTGTTTCAAATGTAAACATCAATGGCCGCCATAAAAAAAAAAGGCTTAGCGGCAATTAAACAACTTTAAAATTGCTGATAATTCTAAAAATATTGCATACAGATTTACTAGAGGCATAAAAACCTAAACCGGAAGATAAAAACAACATAATTCAATCATTTTTAAAGCAAAATATGTACAATTTACAAACATATAAGAGTAAAGATACTGAGATCACTGAGCAGGGTAATAGAGTGGATATATATATAAATATATTTATATACGTTTGGTGCGGCCGATTGCAACCAAAATACGAGGTGCACATCTACATGTTATAGCAGTCCTATATACAAAATTTCAACGTTCTGTGGCTACTCGTTTTTGAGTTATGCGAGATACGTACGTACATACGTTCGTACAGACGCCACGAAAAGTTCTCTCCAGAATTAATTTTAAAGCAGTTTTATAATTTTTTTGAAGGAAAAGAGTATTTTATTCTGTCCTTACGTACAGATATGACGCAAAAACATTGTTAAATTGCATTCGTTTGGGGTCAAAATGGATATTTTCGTTGAAATATGCTGCCTGAATCTTTTCGCGATTACAATACTTCCTTTTTACTTCGTACAAGGAAGTAAAAAAATCTGAAAGGTTTCAGATTTGAAATTACGTCCAAAGGGGCTTTTTTTAATCCTTTTGTGTGTTACATTTATTTATTAAATATCATGTCTTTCCACTTAAAGCATAACATTCAGTTCAATAGTAACGATGCAAAATAATTTTAAAATGAACATATATTTAGAATTTACGATACACAGTTTCGCGCGCTCGAGATAAAAAGGTTTCCCCCTCAATCGAGTGTTGCCATTGCTCGCTTTGAAATGTTTGAGTTTATCAATAAAAAATTCGTTAAAGTGTTACAAAATAGGAAATCGATCATAAAATAAATTCCAAATTTCAAATTTGGTCTTCCACATGGCCATATTCACAGTAGGATTACGTCGTTCAAAATTCGATGGCTCTACGTACCGTTGTTTTATCACAATGCGAGAAATATACATACATTTATGCAGATTTTTCATTACTTAATTTCTCCAAATATAATGCAGGACTCTAACATTTGGTGGCAACAGTTTGAAAAGTGCAACGGACATTTATAGCGATTCAGCGCAAAATCGCGAAACGAAAACAATAGTCCTGCAGGAACAAAGCTCCTTTGGACTAAAAATTTTTGCAAAACTATATTAACAAAGCTAATAAAGATGCGTTTATATAATTTATATTATTATGTTCAGTTGTTTATTAACTTAAAAAAAGTAATATAAATGGCGGATTTTAGACCAAATCGATTGGGAGTAACTTCTTATTTTTATTCATAGCCGACGGCAATAACATAGTTCGGAAGTATTAAACATAATAGCTTAAGTCTATAAAGGGTATAAAATACGTTATAATAAATATTATTTGCTAACTAGACAATGGCATTTTCTTTTTCACTCTTCTTTTCGGTATATATTCTTTTCGATACATACAATTCATTCTACATATATTCTTTCTTTCGATACATATATATATATATATATATTATTAATATTAAGTAAATAATTTTCTGTTTTATATACAAAAAGTAAATAAGTAAAACTTAAAGGCATAAATGGATTTTAAAAGTAAAAATCTAGCCGCTGTCGTTGCTAAAACTAAAAATATAAATTGAATTAATCATTTTCCATCTACTCCTAGGAATAGAAATGTAAAACTATTGCAAATTGAAATTAGGAAATGTTAATACTTAACATAGCTGCGTTAGAACTGTTAAAGATTTTTAAGAAAATTAAAAGAAATTTGAAATTTATAATGTCATGCATTAAAAATTCATTGTGAAATTTAGGCCTGTTTAAGAGAGATCAATTTATGTCTCCTTATATTTTAC